GGCGGGCGCGCGGGCGGGGGTCCTCCGTCCTCCTCCTCCGCGGGTCGGCAAGTCTGCACTGCCGAGTGCCGAGCCAAGCCGAGCCACGTGAGTGAGCCGGGCAGAGCCGGGCTTGTGGGCTCACCAGCGGGCCGGGCTGCGCTGCGCGCCCAGCAGCGCCCAGCCGGGCCCGGCCCTGCCCCGGTGGTGGTGGTGGGGGGAGGGAGAGGGAAGGCCCTGGGCGGCGGGAGTGGGGAGAAGAGGCGCAGGAGGGCAGGTTGCGAGGGGGACGTGAAGGGGAAGGGGAGGACAACCCCTAGGCGCAGGCAGGGCGGGGGTGGGAGGGTATAGTGCTGTGGACGTCCTCGACGGCCTCCTCGACGGCGTCCTCGACGCGGTCCTCGTCGCGAACCCCTCTACCTGGAGCACTGGGTGCATTGCTGCACCGAGCGCACGCATCAACCCGCACGGCTTGACCCTATGTGTGCGGCCTCCCTCACACCGCGGCTCGCCTCTCCCAACCGCGTGCGAAACTTTGGCAGCGCTAGCGTCGTGCGGCCGCATGGCGAGTGGATTCATAGTTAACGGCGCAACGGTGGTGAATTTGCGAAGAAGAGAGGAGGAGGGGGGCGGGTGCGCGGGCGCTTGGGGAGGGTTGGGGAGGGGGCTGCTGGCAGGGCCATTGCTGGCGGAGGAGGGTGCGAGAGAGGGAGCGGAGGTATAAAAGACCGAGCATAGCGAGGTTCATGTGGAGAGAGCGGAGAGAGCAGCCGGCCGGGACACGCTGCCTCTCTCTCCCACCCTTTCTCTCTCTCTGTCTGTTGCTCTCTTGCGCTTTCTCGCCCTCTTCCTCCCCATTTCGCCTGCGGCGAGCCTCACGGGGGCGGTGGCAAGGACCAAACTCCGCCTTGCCCCGCCCCGGCTCGGCTAAGAGGGCCGTCCAGTGAGGATGGGCTTGGGCCGAGCCTGCCTGCGGGTCTGACCTCGCTATGGCGCCTCACCCGGGGACATACACTAGGGCCGAACGGGGACCCGACTGATCCGACCGAGGGAGAGTGGCGCCTCACCGCCTCACCTCACCTTAGCCCGAGGGGGGGATCACGGCTTGTGATCGGGGTGATTCAACAGGAGGTTAGCGGGCTCGCTCCGCGGCTGCGGCGGCCGAGTCCTGATCGCGCACGGGCGCGCCTCGCCTTGATTTGACTCGACTCGGCGCCAAGCCAAGGACTCGGAAACGCGGAGGGCTTTGGAGAGAGCGAGAGAGCCCAGCTCCCGTTTCCTACTTTGCTTGGGAAGAACATATGCCAGACCATTCGGAAGGTTTGCTATACATGTTCTGGGGCGCTTTCGCAAGTGGTGAGTGTGAGTGAGCGCGGCGCTCTCCGACCTTTTGGTAGCCTGGAAAGAGAAAGGTGTTAAGTCGCACCTTTTATGTCTTCTAGGTTTAGTTCCTTTGGGTAATTTAAAGTCGTTAAACTATACCAGAGAGCACTTGCTGTTAGCTCATATCGGGCTCTTAATAAAGCATTCCGGTAAAGCTGTGTCCAAAGGTGTGTGACTTAGCACCTTTGTTTTAGCAGATGATACGTAGTAATCAGCAGCTTGTACTCAAGTAAAGTGCAAAAGTCCGTTTGTTAGTTGAAGCGTTAAGTTGTCAGTTGTCAGCGTCAAAAGCAGAAACGCCGTAGCGCTGCCAGAGCGTAAAGTTCAAAGTTCGCCAGTTAAAGCAGCAGAAACGCGCAAGCAGTAGTCCAATGTATTTAGGCAGTGGGGCTCTCGCGTGCCTCTGCCCGTGCCCGTGCCCCTGCCCGTGCCCCTGCCCCTGTAGTGCTGTTCAGGCCTCGCAGCTGCCGCGCAGCCCTATGCAGCTATGGTCGCCGTTCTCCGGCCGCCTTTTAACGACCCGCCGTCATAAAAGAGAGCATAAAGCACTGGGCCAGCGCGCCCAGCCAAGCCGTCGCCGTGTGTGTGTGTGTGTGTGTGTGTGTGTGTGCGCGCGCGCCTTTAACACTGCCGCGTTCAATGGTGATGCGTTCAATGTCGTCGCGCCCCGCTCGTCGCGCCCCGCTAGCCGCGCCACGCCATGCTCGCCGCGCCGTGCTCATCGCGCCATGCTCACCGAGCCTTGCTTACCGCGCCTTGCACGCCGCGCCGTGCTCGTCGAGCCATGCTCGCCACGCCATGCTCGCCGCGCCACGCCATGCTCGCCGCGCCACGCCATGCTCGCCGCGCCACGCCATGCTCGCCGCGCCATGCTCGCCGCGCCGTGCTCGTCGCGCCATGATCGCCGCGCCATGCTCACCACGCCACGCTCGCCGATACACGCCACGATTGCCACGCCACACTCGCCGCGCTCAATGCCGCGTTCAAAGCCGCGTTCAAAGCCGCGTTCAAAACCGCGTTCAATGCCACGCCTAGCTGTCCCTGTGGCCCGTCGCGCCTCCGCCGCGCCCAGAGTTGACAGTAAAAACTCAACGCCAATCGCCAGAAGTCATCTGCTTTCACGTTAGCGTTAGCGTTAACGTTTTTTTCCAGTGTGGTGCTTGGGCGCTACGCCACTACTGACTCCCGTGCGTCCTTGGCGACTAAGGGGTGCCTGCAGTTCAACTTGATGGGTGCGAATAGAAGGAGAGTGTGTGGGTGAGAGAGAGAGGGAGGAATAGAAGAGGAAGAGAGAGAGAAATGGCGAAAAGAGGGCTGAAATTCGCTCCCGAAGGACAGCCCCTGTCTGCACTATACCAAGTTGTTGGGGACACACTTGCTGCTCTCGCTCTCTCATGCCCCTTTTTCTCACTCTCTCCCTCTCCCTTTCCCCACCGTTCGTCGGGTCTAATCTCTAACTGTTTCCTCTATCTGCAGCCTTTACCCGTCACCGCTAGCCCACTGGGCTGTCGTATCCCTAAGTGTTATGACCGGCACGGCCGGGGGCGGCGCGGGGGCGGCGCGGGGGCGGCCGGGGGCGGGGGGTTGTGCGCCCTGTGTGCCCTGTGGGGCCCTCCCCCTTCCCTTTACTCTCTCGGCCCACCGCGCTCCGGCGGACAGGTAGGATATACGACATGTGTGCGCGTTGCTACCCTATTCCCCCACTCCCGCCCCGGCCGGGCTGACCGCACCCCCTCTGCCAGCCCAGGCCAGCCCAGGCCAGCAGCAGGCATGTCGTCTTCTCTGGGGGAGGGGCTCCGTGGGGCGGGGGCTCACCCTTTCACCCCTTGAGTGACGTAACACCCCCTTCGGTCCCTGAGGACACCTCCTCCCCCCCACCTACCCGCTCGCCCTCACTCATGCGTCGTCTCGTCACCCTCGATACATATCGGCCGTACATGGTGTAGGGGCTGTATGTATCAGCTCGACCTCTGCCTCTGCCGGAATGCCGGCGGCAGTGGCAGCAGCAGGCGGCCCCGATGGCCGAGGGGCGCGGAGCAGGGGCGAGGGAAGGGCCTGAGTACTGTGCGAGGTAACAGCCGGACCCTTACGACCACTTCCATGAATTACATTTCTCACAAACGCGCTTAGTGGCATGCGAAAGGCCGGCCATGGGGGCCCGGAGGCCCGGCGGCCCAGCCCGTGCCAGGGCATGCGGGGGCGGGAGGGGGCGGGCGGGACGCTACGATGGTACATTAGTACATTACGGGAGCTGGCGCGGGCGCACGTGGGGAGTAACACGGTCGTCAGCCGCCCCTTGCCCACCCCCGCCCCACCAGCACACAAGTTCAGGCACCACCGCCGCCGCCAGGGTGGCCACCACCAGCCTTGTTTCGATCCGCTCTGTTGTGGCGGTCATACCGCTGGCCGTTACGGTGCCCATACGGCCCCGGGGCTGCCCCCTCCTCCCCACCCTTTTCACCCCGGACGGACCCGGCAGAACCCTCCCCGCTGTATAGCGGTTCGCCCCGACGAGCACACAAGTCTTGTTGTCCAGGAGGAAGCTACACATATGCGGACAACTGCTCTCCTGCAACATCGCCATGAAGCGAATCTGGCACAATGAAGAAGTGCCCTGACTGTGTGTGAGTGAGCACGAGTGTGTCTGCGACGCCGCCGATCCCTCCCGCAGGTGCAATATCCGCCGGTCGCGTGCGCGCCCCCCGCGCCCCCGCGTCCTCGCGCCCGCCGCTTCGGCTCATGAGCTGGAAGTGCCTCGGGGGACCCCCAATAATATGGAGGTGGTTGGGGGTGGGGGTTAGTTCAGGAAACAGGGGGTGCACCAAGTAAGTCACATTACCAAGTCGTGCGGGCGCGCGAAAACAGCGCTGCTGCCCGGCCACACCCCGCCGCGCCCTATTCTCCAACCCCCCTCCCCTCCTCACCCCGCGTCGTCGCGCTACCACCGCTACAATGTTGCGCGCTGTTCGCAATTCTGGCGGGACGACGACGTGGCGTAGTTGGTGCGCCCTGAAACAGGCACTTTTGTCAGCGGTGTCCTCGCTTCGTCCGCTCCTCCTGCTGCCGCCCCTCTCCACCCCTCCCTCACTGACCCCTGTCGCCTCTGCCGCCGCCGCCACCGCCCTCTCATACCCTCCACCTATCCATCCCCTTTTCCACCCGTTATCCTCCCCTACGCCCACCACCCCGGCTTTGGTCATCCCAACCCCCGCTCCCCTCGCACCCCCGCCACCAATGGCCCTCCTAAGCCCGGCGCGCTAGCGACCCTCCCCTTCCCCTCACCCCTTCCAGCACACACACACACACACAGAGGAGCGCACGCACTTGGGAAAGAGGCCGTGGGGTGTACACACAGTGGGGACAGTTACAGCGCTGGCATGGGGTCGCTCACCCCCTCCCCCCTCCCCGTCGCTCTTAGGCCCCTAATTGCGCCCCAGGAGGGCGTGGCCCCGCGGGGGGCGCAGCGGGGCGCGGCGTGGCGTGGCCGCTGGCCCCTCCGGCACCCGGCCCCCACCAGACGCTGCTGCTGCTGCC